TGCAAACAGGTACCCAAATATAGCAAAAGGTACCTAAATAGCGATGGCCTCCAACCTACTAGCGAGGCTAATAATATGCTGTCAGGGTTGCACTGCCAAGGTTTTGGCAGATGTTGGGGTTCAACGCAGGAAGATCGACGGATCGACGGTGGGGTGTGACCCATGTCGAACAACTCAACAAAGGTGACAACGCAGGTGCGACCGTGCAGATCTCGTAGTCTGTTCCATGGTGGATTCTGGATGCCAACGTCAACACGATCATGGTGGCTTCCCTCCCTTGAAGGCTGTTGAGCAGTTGAGCAGGGGATTGCCACAAGTGTGCTAGATTTGAAAGTTCCAGAGAAACTGATCAGGGTTCCCAGCTGTTTCCCAGTTCCACTGGGAGGGGACTTGAGGCCTCCAACTATTTTGGTGTTGCACCCCAACGGCTCAGGGGTGCAAGGGGTGCAAAGGTTTCGGTTCTTGACCAGTTTGCCCATTTCACATGTTGGTATAGGAACTGCCCCCAAACGCCTGCTTCGGAACACATCACCAGCTTGGTTGTGTATGTGTGCGTTCGTGTGCAGAGCTATAGACGACTCTGCGGAAGGGATGCAGAGCCAAGAATGACCTATAGCTCGATACCAAATATCCCAGGTACCAACTCCAACTCGGTGCTTGTCAGTATCTAGTCACATCAAAAGTGCTTACAGTTACAAGTGGAACAGACAGGGATCCGTGGCAAAAAGCAGAGTGGCTTGAAATATGTTCTTCAAAGACTTGGGGCCTTGCAAGTTGCAAGCCAGGGCGGCTGCGCGCAATGATTGACCGATTACTAGGCCTGACGGCCAAGGGCGGAATCTGCATGTCAGCTCAAGTTCAAGCTACCCAGGAAAGCTAGCGTAGCGATGCCAGGAGCCCCAAACGTAGCTTCTTGTTCCTAGTAGCTTCTTGTTACTACTAGTAAGGCACCTGTTACTACTAGCGTGGCACTTGTTCCTAGTACTCTTGTTTTAGCAAGTCAACTTGCCGTGGGATGGAATGCCCTACCCTATGCTAGCTTTCGTCACCAACCCCACCTCAAGGACCCGGATCTCTTGGATTTCGGGACCTCGTCTCGTTGACTGTCTCGATCTCGTTGATCTGTTCGACGGATGACGAGTTGGATCTGTTGGAAAAAACCAAGTCCTGAAACTCGATGGATCTGACGACTCGTTGGGAAAAACCCGGACCTTCGGACCTTCGGTTCGGACCTCGCGGCGACACATCATGACAAGCGTCAACGAGTGATTTTCGAAACGGCCGTCGATGTGAAAAGAATGCAGCGGAAATGTGGGATAGCACGCGTGGATGGCACTCGTTCTACCATGTTCTACGGAGGTTGTTAGTTTCTTTCTGACGGATTTGGATACGATTTCAGTTCCATTGTAGGAACATTGTAGAACCATCCGTCCGAAACGTTGGATCGACTTATTGAATGTGTGTGTGGAGGGGGGTCACTCACGATAACGAGCCTTGCCAACCTGATGGCAGCGAGTATAGGGGGATTTGGGATCCACAGGTTTGCCTAGACATGCCATGTTTCGAGATCTCCGTCCTTCTCTTCGTGCGGCGAAGACGCGCTAGAAACACGCTGCATTGTCCCCATCGGGTCCAGTCTAGAGAGGATGGCTTTTGGAGTGAAAAGGTACTAGTAGCGATGGCCTCCAACCAAATAGTAGTGGCCTCCAACCTACTGTCAGAATGTGTTTTTGGAGCTTTTTCTTTCCTCAGCTTAGTGGACCCTTTGGGTTTCTTGGAGGGGTGAGTTTTCTTCCGATCACGAGACTTCGCAGGGGAGCACCGTGAGCTTTCCGGGCCCCAGAAACACGTCCGGAAAACGGATGCCTCACAGCTTCCCGGAGCGGAAAGGCCTCTGAGCGGAGAACCTTTGATCGGCGCCGAGAACCTTTGATCGCGTGTGCAGTGAGTCAGGATCGAGTGTGAAAAAAACACCCAACTTACTGGTCCAACAGGCAGATCTGACACTTAGTCATGAGGAAGCAAACAGCAAACAGCACCAATAAGAGAGTGAAGGATGAGTTGTAGACCCTTTACATAGAAACAAACAAATCAAGAGGATTCTTATATAAAATATATATATATGATATATGTACATTATATATCAAAAAAGAATACGCACACTTGTTGACATATGACATTTGGCATGGCTGGTTGGCGTTTGGGCTTCACTTCTCTTTCGGCCGCGTTTGGGCTTCGCAAGCGTCATCACATGGTGCGTTCGCGCCCCGGTGTTTCACCATCCACCGCACCGCACACGACGATCGTTCGGCGCAATGCACAGACCTTCCAGGCGGGCGCGGGTCTCGCACCACGCGTTGGCCTGAAGTTTTCCGGCCCAAGAAGGCCATGGCCCCTGCATGGGGATGGGATGGTGAGCAATGTCACTTGCGGAAATTGAGTTTGATGGATTTGTGGCGTCAGGAAAGCTGAATGACCCAGCTATGGACCATGTCCATCAGTGAGGGGAGACAGATAGATGAGCACAACATCAGATGAGAATCATGAGATCAGCAATGATTGGCAAAGGGAAGATGAGATAAGATGAGTACAGCTGATGGAGTTTCAGCTCAGATAGTTTCAGTAAATTTGCTTGGATCCATTTCACCATCCCAATAATCCCGATAGAGGTGTGATCCTCGGATTGCTCAAGACAGTGTCATGTCCTCCGCCGGAGGTGTTGTTAACGGAAAGCATGTATGCAAAGTCTCTTCAATTGACAAAGAAAGCCATTCATTTGAGATATGTTGAGATATTTGAGTTGGCGTTCAATCATTGCACACAGTACGCAACTCAGATAAGCCTTTGGTTTAGTTGAGCATGTTTTGGTTGATTCGGAGCTTCGACCATAGACGAGCTTCGAAGTTCTCAAACCCGGCAGTCGTTCTCAGAACCATGTGTCTCGATTGTGCCAAAGTCCGTTGAGCAAATCCAACCTTTTTGGGCCAGAGACCAGTGGACGGGACAGGTCTCTTCAATGGTAAGGTCTCGAGGTCTGAAATCAAGGTCTTGTTTTCGTTCAAGTTCGATTGGTGCCTTCCCTCTTCGAAGTGTTATGTGTTTCTCTTTAGAAGACGGCTTATTTCTTCCATGGAGTCTCTGGCCACCTCCCATTTGAAGGCAAAATCTGCAGGTGGTCACTGGGATGGATCCGCTGGGTCGGCGATCGACCTGTACGAAACGACGATGTCATGGAGCTTCGGAGGGAGGAGGGAGATGGGCAAATTGGGAGCTCCGTGTTCAGTTTGGACGAATTCTTCAGAGCTCGGATGTTCAAGATCTGAAGGACGACGGTCGGACCGAAGGATGAGGCGTTCTTCTCGACCTTCAGCGACCGTCGAGATGCGGTGAGGAGGTGAGTGGTTTGGACGATGTGTTTGGCTACGAACAATGTTCGCTATTAGGAACAAAGGGCATCGCTACGTTCGTAACAAGTGCCTTACTAGTAGTAACAAGGAAGCTAGTAGTAACAAGAAGCTACTAGGAACAAAGGGCATCGCTACTAGGAGGAGCAAGGAAGCTACTAGGGGCTCCTGGCCTTTTGAGTCATTCATGTCCTATATCTGATCTATTTGCCGACCTTGATGTGAAGAGTAAGAGAATGGCCATCGAAAGAACCACCTGGTTGGGGCTTTACATCCTTTGATGAATCCTTTGATAGAGATGGAGCATTCTTAAAACCATTATACTTGAGGCACCTGAGGATTCAAACCTCAGCTCACCCGCAGAATCTATGCACTTAGAACTATTACGGTCTACTTCACTTACATCTGTGCAACGCCTTGACATCCCCATTGCGGTGTGTCTTTGTGGACTAAATCCAGTGACTCCTGTTTTGTGGGGTGGGGCATTCCGGTGCCAACTGCCACCGGACAATCGCCCCGCCACCCGGACTGCCCTCAAATGGGGCCGGAGGGAGAGATTTCGCTGTCCGCGACCGTGGCGTTTTTGTTCATGTTTGCTGCGGCTGCGGACCCCTTTGCTGCGGCTGCCCTGTGGTATGTTTGTTGGTGCAAATGTTGAGATCGGGGTATGTGGGGTCCCCTTTGGAAAGTTGTTTCATACACGCGGTTTCAGAGGACTGCTGAAGAAATCTAGATTTGAGGCATGGATTCGGCATCAAAGCAAAAATTTCTCGAGGAGCTGATGTTCTTGTTGGAGCAGGGTCGACCAGGCACGGGCATGCCGCTGAGGTGAAGAAGTTTCGGGCACAAGACCCTCACTGGAAGGTCGAATCCTGGGACCTACAACGATGGTGCCCCAACGATGAGATCCGATGAGATCCACCCCTTTTTGTAGAGGTCGTCCAGTCAGGAATTCCTTCAAAGACCGTGAGGATCATCGAATTTTCTGCATCCCAAGCAGGAAAGAATGAGTGTGGAATTCTCTCCAAAAAGGTTGTGAATCACGTTTCTATGGTACATCATGAAGTGGAGCTCCAGTTGAATGGCAGGAGAGGTCTGTGGAAAGGGGTGCACTTCTTTTGGGGGTACCAGGAATTGCCCTTGCTCTGCAGAACCGACCGCGTGCGATGACCGAAAAGGACCGACGGTGGGCTCCAAGGGCCGTTCAGATGTTTGAGAAGCCTCCTGAGATATCGGCAAACACTCAGACTTTCCGTCTCCTTCAGTGTCCAGAAACGTGGCATTTTCTGGCCGGAAAGACTCCTTTGGCCATTCGTCGCCTCGTCTTCTACGGTTCATTCACGGGTTTTCCATGGTCTTCCACCACTGGAGGTCCCTATACCTGGCCCTGGCAAGCTTCTGGGCTGAACATCTGCACCACCTTCGACACCGCCTCAACGAGTTCTTGACACCGTCTCTTACTGCATTCTTTGTGTACTTTCACCTCATCCAATCACCGAACAACCACCTCAAACGCCCTCCCAAATCGCTTGAAGTGGCCACGCTTCTCCTTCCCACCATTCTCCACGCTCCACTTTGACCGGGCGCCGTCCTCAGGTCCTTGGTGGGGGACTTCAACGGCTGGAACGAGCACGCCACGCCCATGGCGCGCGACGCCTTCGGCACCTGGGAGGCCGGGCACCACGCGAAGGTGGAGAGGATCGGAGGCAGGACACGTGACAAAGAAGACGACGTGTTTGGATCCAGAAGGGGTCTCCTTTTTTCGAGGTGTCAAGAATCACACTGGTGTTTTGTAGACAGGCGAGCTCTTGTTGGCGTGCACTGCGAGTTTCGGGGGGGTGTTTTTTTGTTGCCAAATGGGGTATTTGATCGAAGTTGCAGCCAGAAACGTTGCACAACGTTTTGCGTTTTGCGCAAGATCTGACTGGGCTAGTTTCGGAGGCGTCTCAGATCCAATAGCTCTGCTGGCCTTTTTTTGACGTTTGAAAAAAGTGAGAAGAACGTCTACGTGAGGACCATCTTGGTTTGTATGGAGGACTTTCTGGGCGGGTGCGGATGGTCTGTCAAGGGAAGCAATTTGGTAAAAAGTCTTAGTACACTCGCTGAAGTCATGATGAAAGTGGATGACACCACCGGCTTGGTATTCGGATTTCACGGCCATGCCAACCACATAACCATGATAAGTCTAGAGAGTGTCGATGGTAGTAGCTTCTGAAGCTACTGTTGTCCTCTTTGGAGTTGACTGGGATTCCCGTGACACCGAAAGTTTCTCGCTATGGCACAACCTAAAATTAATAGGACGGGCACACAAAGAAGCAGTAAGAACAAAATCGGAACTCAGAACTGTGGTCCCCTCAGAATTTGACATTTGTGTGGTGCAGTGTCATGAACGCAGTTCAGTCGAATTGCCTTCTGGTGTTCAAGCATTCACCAAAGAGGAGACAGGCAAAGCCATGCAAAAGGAGTCACACAAGAAAACAGTTCGTGAAATCAGACGGCAAAATGCGCACATCGAAGCCCGTCATGTTTCGAAGAATTCTCATCCCTGCGGATTCGACCCCCCGGCTTCGCAGGTGACGTTGCCACCGGGCTCCATTGCCCATCGCTCCAAGGCGACCGGTGCGACCGGGTGCGCAGTTCATCCAGCATGTGTTGGGAGGAAGAGCGAGGGACCGTGTGTGGTTTTTAGGGGAAAGTCTGTGTGTGTAGTTATTTTGGCATAGCTTCCAGGATGTAAGCAGGCTGTTCCTGTTCATGCTGTTCCAGGTGAGTGGAGTGGAGTGGAATCTGTAGATTGTGACAGTATGTCCAAACTGGGAGCTGGCCTTTTGGTACCGGTGCTCCACCCTTTTTGAGGACTACGACCATGTCGCCAGGAAGTATGTCGAGCACCTGTACTTAGGTCGAACTGTTTGATGGGTTCCATTGGGAATTGCATGGAATTGTCCACCCCTCACTCAACTTCAGATGGAGTTCGGGTCGTCTTTTCGATGTCTTAACAAGAAGCTACTAGGGGCTCCTGGCCTTACTAGTAGGAGCAAGAAGCTGGCGCCTCTCCCGTGCACCGCTCCCCCGGCTTCTCAGACCCATCGGCCCCACCGACCGCTCGACCGCGACCGATTGCGCAGGTGAAGTTCTGCGCCGTGACGCCGGATGGCCGCTGGGGCCGAGGAGGGACGTAGGGCCGAGAAGACGAGCCCCCTTTTCGGAAGACACCAACTGAAGCACCAGTGAAATTCCACAGTATCCGTACAACTGGCGTGGTGGTTGAAACCCCGAACATGTGAGGTCCACAGTGCTTTGCACCATGGCCAGGGTTCCCCAGGCTGAATCGCCCATTTACACGGTGCCACCCCTGAGGAGGGGATGAATAAGAGCACACCAAAATGGGTTGTGAAAGGTACCATGTTTGGAGTCCCTACTTAAGGAGCATAGAAACCATGGAAACCTGAAGGATGCAACTGATCCATAGCATATCGGATGGATCAGGCCTTTCGGTCATTCTCCAACTGTGTTGCTTCATGCACTTCCACCAGGTATGAAGCAAGAAGAACTTTCCAGAACCACGGAAACATCCACATGGCTCTATGTGTAAAGTCTTTAAAGTGCCACCTGCATGTTTCATGCAAGGTAAAACCATGTACAACATCGAATTATCCAAATATCTGTGTCTTTTTGACTCGTCCAACACGTCCATGGATTGCTTGGGGAGCCAACCATCCAACCCAAGATCACCCTCCTCACCCCCCTTCCGCCTCCGCATCCGGGTCGAAAGATCCACGTCGAAACCGCGCGCAGTGCGGGTGCAGCACGCCGCGCCTCAGGTGCCAAGGTCTACCGGGTCCCGGCCTGGATCACATGGTCCTGCTGCGACCTAGGCGAGTCGTGGGGAGCACAGCGGAGCCGGAGCGTGGTGAGGGCAGTAGGTGGTAGGCAGCCCTTCGGTTTGGGGAGATAGAAAGATCATGGGTGCCCGAAAAGGAGGTTGCGTTCTTTTCATGGGGAAAAAAGAAGCATGGATCAGGGGGCTTCTTCCAAGTGTTTCTAAGAGTGCCTCCAAAAATGTTAGAAACATCCTATGATGATTGTGTAAACTTTGTAAACCAAAGTCGCGCGCCATCCTGAAGGGCGTTGGTTGCTGTTTTTGGAGACTAAGCTCATGTAACAGATGAAAGAGGTACACCATTCTTAGAGGGGCTGAAATTCGTTCATCAAATCAAATGTCTTTTGTTGTCCAATGTTTTTTGTTCGCAATATATATATAGCTTTTTGCTAGAGAGGGCTCCTTCCTCAACAAAAAGACCACCCAAGTCACCGGTGTTTGCTTGGCACCCACCCGCGAGGCAAATTCGGCTCCACCTACGACGGCATCTACTGGGACCCCGCCACGCAGCCGGACGCGCCCGACGCGCAGCCGGGCGCGGCGCCGGACGCGCCGGGGGCGCCGGACGTGTACTTCCGCGGGTTCAAGGCGAAGGCACCGACGGTGCAGTCCTTGCGCATCTACGAGGCACATGTCGCCTGGCCAGTTAGTGAGCTGGGAAGGTGGAGAGAGAAGGGTGCAGAGATTGGGTGTTTTTTGCGTACATCACAGGGTGTCCCAGTTTTTGTTCCATGGAACTGAACCAGGTAAAGAGAGAAGATCACTTTTTGGAGCCATCAGAACCACCAAACCTGTTTGACACTCTTACTTTGCTACATGGAAAAAATACAACCGGTTTTCACAGAAGTCCGTTCCTGAGGTGGGGATGTCCTCGGTGGAGCCGAAGTGCAACAGCTACCTGGCACCTCGGCCAGCACCACAGCAGGGCTGCTGGCACCAGAGGAGTGGCCAGCCACTTGTTACTACTAGTAAGGCCAGGAGCCCCTAGTAGCTTCTTGCTCCTAGTAGTAAGGCACTTGTTACTACTAGCGTGGCACTTGTTCCTAGTAGCTTCCTTGTTACTACTAGTAAGGCACCTGTTACTAGTAGCGATGCACTTGTTACTACTCGCCAAGGGTGTGAGAATTGCGGAAAATCCTACCAACACCCTTGGCCACTGATGTTCCATGTAGCTTGATGTTCAAGCAGCTCAAAAGAAACAAGTTGCTGTTTCATGCTCAGGGGAGACTTTGCAATCTGACTTTTGGAGGAATGGGGTAAGGTGGAGAAATGTGGAGCCTGGCAAGGAGTGATGTTCTTGCAGACTTTTTGGGGGGGGCTCCAAGACACACCTTCTCTAAGCAACTGTTTGTTGATGTTCATCTCGACAGTGGTCTTGGTAGTTTCTCTCATTTTAAGACACTCAGATCTTCAAGATCAAAGCCAGGAAGGATCATTTCAAAGGCTAGTAGATGCTAGTAGTATAGCCAGCATACTACAGTGTCTCCCTTTTCTTTCAATAGATCTTTGGCCCAACAAATTTGGAGGTAACCTGGACACATGGGAGATCACTACAATAGATATGCTATTGCTTTGATCCTCTCAGTTACAGTACCAACCCTTCTTCCTGCATGAGGATTGGACAAGTCAGGGATAGATAGCTGGGGAAGGCAGGCACATTTCGTGCTGCCCCTTAACAATCTGTATGGCTGAGCAGTAGGTTTCCGGAGGGTCCTGACAGACTTTTAACGTTTGCGTTCGCCCGGAGAGCCTGGCCGCGAGGGAAAGACCTCCGTGCCCCGGAACTCCGACTGAAATGCATTCGACCGGTTTCTGAGTAGGTGTTTGAGACTTGATTTCTTGGGATTCCCACACATCCAACAAGAAGCAAATTGGGACCGCTGACAAGGCTTGCACTGTCCAAACATGCGCAAAAGCCAAAAGATACCTCAGACCAGACCTTTGCTGAAAGGTCATGTTGATTCCATTTGACGACATATCGCGCTTAGATCCTTTCTTCCTTCACAGGTAATCCCCATATAATAATGCCTTTCAAAAAAAGAAAACTATTCCCCCCGTGTCCCTTGGCAGTTTTTCCTCCTCCTCCTCCTCCTCCTCCTCCTCCTCCTCCTGCTCCTCCTCCTCCTCCTCGTGCGCGTCGCGCGATGCATTGCACCAGCAGTGTCTTTCTCATCTGAGGAGTTCGCACGGGATGTGCTGCCGCGCATCAAGGAAGCAGGCATGGCATGGGAGGAACTCAAGGATATGAAGGACATGCCATGAGAAGCAGAATTGAGGAACATTGAAAGTTGCAAAATCCGTACCATAAGAAGGGTGGGAATCATGGGAATCTTGTAGAAGTTTGCTGGTGTCCATGAAATTGAACCGGCCAAAATCGAGGGACTCCGGGCCAGAAGGAAGGCCATCCGGGTGTTGATATGTTGGAATTTACCAAAAGGATTGCTGCGTGGTATTTCACTGTTTGCCAAAGCTTTGAGTGGAAGGCTAGCTGATCATGTTGCGGAATTTGGTTTAAAGATACTGGGTGTTTGTTGGACCTCGAAACCCTTCTTGCAGGGGTGTTCCGCGATTAAGACATGACACATCCACTGACCTGTTCACAATGCGTGCCTTGGACGCGTTTCAATTTGATCTTGTCCTTTCCTATATTCCCTACTACCACGCGCGCAAACATCACGAGAGACGTGACTGGTGTTGTACCAGGCACACCGGTCTGTGCTCAAGAAAGAAACCCCAAAGTGGAACCCTATTCCCCTTCCCTTCTTCAGCTGCTTGACTCCACCGGACCCGCCGCGAAAGGCTACAACTGCGTGCAGTTGATGGCCATCATGGAGCATTCGTACTACGGATCCTTCGGCCGCTCGGACGACGCCGGCGGCCGCGGACCGCCCGTGGTGCCGGGGCGACGCGGGGGGTTGCGGGTATGGCACGGAGAAGACGGTTGGAGGGATGTGGCATTTCTGAAGGGACGATCCGGTCCATTGTCCTCCTCAAAGGAACTGCTGGACGTACTCGCAGGCCTCCTCAGTCTTAGTCCTTGAAATGGTGGTCATTGAACTTTTGCAAAGAGCTACGTGGTCGTTGACGAAAGGTTACGTGAAAAACCATCTCAGAGGAACCGCACGCATCCGCAAGCTCACATTGAAAGACAAGGGAAAGGTTTACGGCGTGGGCACTTGATCGCAAAGGAGTCTGAAAATGCGCACTTTAGTCACTTGTAGAAGGCTTCCAGATCGTGATACACCATCCTTCTCACATGCGCTGAAGAATCATCGTGATTGTTCTTCATAATCCTATCTTCGATCCAACTTTTCGCATGGAAAAGAGGTGCATTCTCTTGATCTTTTCATGAAGACATTCCGTGTGTAGATGCATGGCTCGGAGTCCCCGGAGTGTCGAAGACGGCTTTTCTCTGCAGAACCCATCGACGGCCGACCGCGGGTCAATCGAGGGGGGCTCGGGCGATGTTCCAGAAGCAGGTGTTGTGATGCCTGTCTACCCCAGTTTGGAGCCTTTGGTTGGATCATTTAGGCCGTTGGTTTGTGGTTCCATGCTTGTTACACAAAAACGGAACCTCATCAGAGGCCACATCTTGGGTGCGAAACGGGTCGTTTGTTCAGCCGGACCCCGAACTTTCTCAGAGAAAAAAGGTGGATGTCGAAGGATGACATACTTCTTCACCCGACGTTCAGACACCACGGTGGATGTCGAACGTGGCACGCGACGTTCAGGCTATCACGTGACCTCGCCCTTTGCGGTGTCGTCGCGCTCGGGAACCCCGGATGAGTTCAAGGTGCTGGTGGAAACCGCTCACGAGATGGGCATGCTGGTTTTGATTGAAGCTCAGCGAACGTGGGGGCGCCATTGGTGTGTTCGGGTGCGGGCCTGCGGTGTGCTTGATGAGCAGATGCTTGGAGGTTGCTGGTCTTGTGGCTGAAGCGGTGGACCAGCTATTGTCAGGAATATTAAAGGAAATATCATGTCCGTCTAAGTGTTTTTTATAGGTTGCTTTCAGTTCTAGTCTAAGTCGCCTTGAAGCAAACAAAAGATTCAAAAAAGAATCAGTAGAGGCTGCAGCCTTAAGGTGCAGCCTTAAGCCCCCAAAAAAACGCATGAACATGCATGAACCATCATGTGAAAAGGAAGCAGAGCAATTGAGCACATGACGTCACAAGCAGTCTCATGCCCCGAAAAGAATTCCGAAGAAAGCGAGAGTCGAAATCTGAGAGCACCAGAATCGAACGCAAGAAAAGCAACAACCATAACGTCGTTTGCCAGGAACAGAACAAAGAAACATGTTTTTTTCCAGTGGTTTGTTTGCTTTCATGCTGTGTTTAGGTCAGCTGCCAGTGTTGCTTCGTGTGGCAAAACAGCAGCGCAGACCGAGGATTTGGTCCATTCGCACGTGTCCAACAATGCCGACGATGGCCTGAACGGTGCTTCGACCGCAGAGACCCCGGGGCCGAAGGAGGCTCCTTTGAGTCGTCCTGGACCACACCGAAGGGTGAAGTGCCTCCAACTTCGTGACTGTGAAGTGCTTCCCCAAGCACTTCCCCCAACTCCACCATTTGGTGCTTCCCCACAGAGATATTTGCAGTTTAGACCAGGAGACTCCACTCGTGGAGGCCTCCCTTAGTTAATGCGTTGAGTCCAATGGCCTGACAAGTCAGTACGGATGGGTGCACTGTTTCGCGCATGGGCACGACAATGATGTCCAAGTAATTGCCCCAATTTTTAGTTTCAGTGGATACTGGTTACTGTAAAAATGCACGTGTCATACAAGCAGATTGACGTGTCAAAGGTGTTGTTTCATTTGATCGCCGCCTGAGGCATGGACTTTGGTCAGGCGGAGTGCGACAGCTATTTCATGACCGGCGATCGAGGTGTCTGGGCGGTATTGGGCGGGAGTATCTCAGCAATCATAGGGTGTACCTGGCTGCAAAAGATGCTAAAACGCGATAGATGAAAACAACAGTGGAGAACTTCTCATCATCTTCCAGCAAAGCTGGGCACACGCTTCCCCAGCATGTGTTTGATTTTGCAGCTTCCCAGTCTGGTTTATGTTAATGGTCATTGGTCATCTACTTGGCAGACGTGTTCTTCGATGATCTCAAAACAACGACGGTTGAAATCCTATGGTTTTTTTTCCATGTGAAGGCGAAGCCCATGCGACGCTGCACGCCACTTGGCTGCCGAGGCTACCATCGCTTGTGGGATTCCAGCGACTCAGCTGCGTCCAGGAATCTTCCCGACTCATCCCTGCGGCTCACACCTTCGACATGACTTGCTTCATCAGTGGAAGCACAAAGATGTCCAGTTTCACACTTCTATGAGGAGAAAACTGGGCGGTGTCACGAGTTTGCTCGGGCGGTTTCCTCCAGCGGTCGGAGAGTCGTGTGACACGAGTTCCGTTGTGACCCCGACCTTGATCCGTAGTGAGCACTGGATGGATGGACGAGTAGCCGTAGTGAGCACTCACAGCGGGGCGGGAGGAATTGGACGAGGGATGGCCGAGTCGTTGGTGTTCGCTCAGTGAGACAACCATCCGCCCTTAACCATAGGCCAAGCAAGGCCAATCCTTGTGACTGGGGACGACTGGGGCGACAGTGGCAAGCAAGTTTGAAGTCTAAGGACTTTATTGCTACAAGAACTATGAGGTCCTGAGATACTTGGCTGCCATGCGGAGACAGCTCGAGCTATGTCAGCTGCAGAGTTTTCACTGCCAAGTGAAGGGGTCTCCCACTCAAAAAGTATCACTCTCAATTGTCCCAGTCAAGGTTCAGGGCGCAGCACAAATGTATACAGATGATCACCAACAATAATTTCCGCCGGGTTTCTGTTCTGTGCAACGTTATGCTTTGTTGGGCGTCTCCATGTGGGGTTCTGCCTCGCACACCACATGCCACCGTTGATGTCGTATTGCTGAACTAAAGATTTTGAGAGGCATAGGAGATCTCCTCATCAGATTTGCGAAGCAGTGAAAGATTCCATCTCTCCCGAACCAAAAGGAATGAGTCTTTGCTGTCAGCTGACAGCAGTCATGTGCTTCGGCCCAAACCTTGAAGTCACTCCGTTGTGGAACTCTGACGGTTCCAAAATCACTTCCACCACGAGCGGTGCTCAGGATACCTGCTCTCCAACTTGCGTTGGTGGCTGGAGGAGTACAATTGCGATGGATTCCGCTTTGATGGCGTGACCTCCATGCTGTACCATCACCATGGCTTGTGACCTGGCATCAGGGTGATCTTCGGATGGGTCAAGACCTGGAGCTCTGGTCCACCATGTAGCTTTTCCTTCCAGGTAGGTCAACTGGTATGACCCACAGCCCCTTTTGTTGCGGCACTCTGGTTCACAGCCTTGGAGCAGGTGTTGGTTTTTTGTTCGACAAGGGAACAAACAGTTGACCAGAATTTTCTCCTGCCCCTGCACTTACCGGACCACCAATTTGAAGCAGGTGGTTTTGCATAAAAAGGAGCTGGAGGACGTGAAAACCACTTGAGTCATAGAGTAGCATTCTCAAAGGTAGCTTGCAAATGCACCAACGAGTGTCATTGATAAACCGTTTGCATAGTCCACTTTAGTCTTTGGAGTGCAGCAGTAAGCCAAGAAAGATGGGTTTTGAATGATTTTGATGCGGTTTCGAGAATGCTTCCCTGTACTTCTGACCGCAGTCCGGCTGGCCCGAGGTACATGAATTTCACCGGGAATTACGAGGAATCCGCATGAGCGAGAGCGGTAGTATGAGAGACCCTTCTTCCCAATGCCAAGTTTGGCTTGTCCACCGAAGGTCTTGGGTTGGTCATCCACTGCATATCGAACTCTTTTGCCGGTGGTTGTCCTGGTGTGTTGATGTTCGGTTCTGGAACGGATGGCGGTGCTTTTCAGGCAAAGCTGAAAGTCACAAATCGGGGACAGCTGGGGTGGCTTCCCTCACTGCTTCCTTCGTTCAGACTGGTGATGTTTTGCTGTCAACATACGCACCCCTTCTTCGATCCGAGAACAAACCAAACAGCAGAACAGTCTTCATCGGCTGCGCCATTTTCCATACCCGAGCCCGACATGTTCTGTCGGGAGTCGGGAGTCGGGAGTTGGCAGCTTTTTGGAGGAGTACTTTGGGCTGCAGACGGATGTGGACGCGGTGGTCTACCTGATGTTGGCCTCAGAGTTGGTCAAGAGCGTGAAGCCTTCCGCCATCATGTGCCGCGGCCATTCATGGTCTTCTATTTTCCATGGTTCTTCCGAAGGCCGCAAAGCAGACAAAGCACAAAAGTATATGGAAAGTAATTGAAGACGAGAAGCAAGCTCATTTGGTACGCCATCCAAAGAACATGATATAGGATCTCCATCTCCGAAAACGTTGCTCAGTAGAAGAAGTGGTTCTTTTGTTGGTGGTTGTGTCATGTCGACCAGCCCCCATCCCCCAAGTCTCCCAGATGTTGCTGACGGGGACCTCCCGGAAGTGTCACGACGATCAACTGGGAGAAAAATCCAGTCTGACTAATGTGTCTCATAAGGAACCTAGGGTGCTATAACCCTTGTAGGCAGTTCATATCATACCTGGTCTGTGTGTGTCTGTGTGTGGGTTGCTTTTGGGTAACCCCATTCTGTTTATTCACCAGTTTCATCGCGCGTCCTCGCGCACCTGAGGATTGCTGAGGATGTCTCCGGTATGCCCGGCTTGTGTGTGCCGGTCGCCGAAGGAGCGCGGGACGCGGTCGCACAACGCGACGTCGCGCGGTCGGTGGCGGCTCGCGGTCGGTGGGCGTTGCGTGAGACGAGACGTGCGCACCGATCCCGGATATCGGGTGCACATCATGAGCCAAGCTGGGAGTTTTGAAACTCTACCGAAAGTTGGTCAACATCCACATCTTCAATACCCTGATTGGGATCAGCAAGGGTGGTTCTACCAATTTCTGTGTGTGTGTGTTTTTGGTTGTGTTCTCTTTTGTTGCGGAGGGGAATACTGCTTCAATTGCAGGATCGTTCTCGGGAAAAACCTATCTATAGGGAAGCCTCGGATTGGGTAGCTCGGATGCAAGTGTCCTGTTGATTTTGCTTTAACTAGCTGGTGCTCAGAAGGGAGCCAAGGAGTCGAGGGTATCCGTTCCCTCCCTATTGAGCAGGCAGTGAAGGTGCTACAGGGAGCTCCCCAACCCCTTGCCTCGGCACGCTGCTTCAGGAGGTGTTGGCTTCGACTACCGTTTGGCGATGCTTCTGGGCAAAAAAATGGTCTCGGCATCCAACTGTCCTTCATACCAGCACAATTCAAGGAAGGAATGGGATGCTTGATCAAAAACACATCAAAACCCAAACCAATATAGCTTTCGCTACAGATCCCCTCCCCCTCACCGGTCGGTCCGCCTCCCTTTCGTCCCTTCCGCGTCCGCGGAGGTCGTTGCCGGACTTGTGGATTTCGCTGCTCAAGGAAGCCAAGGACGAGTGCCTTGGGGCGAAGAAGGTGAACTCTGTGAACGGCTGGGGTGACGGGTGATTCACTCGGGTGAACGGTGAACGGTGAGCGAAACGGAGCACCCTTCACCAGGTGGGGGAGGAACACCGCGAACTGCTTTGTGTTGGTTTCAGGTGGGTGAAATTTGTTTGGAGAAGAGTAGAGTAATCCCTGATCTTGCTTATTAAGCCCCTCAGAAGCCTTGGTCTTGGGAGCTGTTCATGTTGGTTGCCCTCATTGACATGCAGGGTGAGAGCAGACGTGATGAGTGACCTGTTCACTGACTCCTTCTGTTCGTGGGTAGCTGTTCACTCCAGCCAGGTGAGACATGTCACCAGGTGAGACGTACCACTCAGTTCTTGATACCACGTGAAAGAATGCTCCACTTTTTGGTCGTTTCATGACAACATCCCATCTCCCCCAAAGATGTTCCCCCAAATAAACTCCAATTGTCTTTTGGAGTGTGCATCAATTCCATTCACACGCCCCTCAACAGCTAACATAGATACGCAACAAGATCAAGAAAAGGCATATTAGTATGTGTTTGGGCTGTTCCTTTCGGATTTGGCCAATAGAAACGTCTTTGCCGGGACGTTTGGGTTCCAAAGCCACGTCTTCGTGTCACTCCAGCCGGTGGTCTCAGGCATTGGGGGATGAACCACATCGTCTCGAAGATGTGCAACCGCCGCCGTGGCGTGGAGAAGACGGTGGCCTACGCCGAGTGTCACGACCAATCCATCGTGGGAGACAAGCGCCTTGGCGGCGGAGCCCGCTCTGGGTCTCGACGGTCTCCGGGAACGGATCCGCCAAAGAAGTGACAGAGCGCGGTGGATTTGGGGGGATTCGATTGGGGGGGGAAGGTGGATCCGTCCTTTCTTGGATTCGAAGGCGTGTTCAGGAGGATGTTGTTGCTAAAGGCTTTGCAGAAGCGAAAGGCGAAGATCATTGTTGCTAGCTGCTTGTGCAACAGATCTACTCCTGCTTTTGGATCTTGCAGAGCCTTCTTCATAGACGGCGGGACTTCCGTTTGCACCCAAAACCGTACACCGACTCTTCTGGGTGGGAATCCCAAATGGACTGCCTACCAGTTTGCTTTGACAGGGAGAATCCCATGTTTATTCCTGTGACTTCTTCAGAAAGGCCGCAGTATCCCAAATCTTCCTGAGTGCAGAAAGGACCACCACAGTATCACAGTGTAATTGGTGAAGAAATTCGAGTAGGATATCTCACATGACTCTTATGGAACTCATATGGAACCTAATCAAAAAGTGTTCATTCAACCATGAAGTCTCCACTCCACCAAAACCTGCGTCCCTCCCGCCGTCCGCGGCCGTCGATGGCGGTGGCGTCTCAGGACGATTGCCTTTTGGTTGATGGATGCCGAGATGCCTGGCTTTGCCGAGGCTTCAAACATTCTTTGGGGATGTTCTTGGACTCCACTCCAATGCTTCATGGGTGCAATTGTTCTTTGCTTCATGCGACTTCCGGAAGAGGTGTTTGTTTCCCATAGGTGTCCTGTCCTTTCCCATCTTTCCCCCCAAAAAGGAGAGAACGGCCAAATGACGCGTGTTCTGTCGAAAAGAAGAAAACACAAAAGGATCGGGGGCCGATGTACACGGCCCAAGGATGTACACGGGCATGGGCGACGACGGCACCCCTGGCTCCGTGCAGATCGAGCGCGGCATGCCGCGTGGACTTCGGGTCGTCCGTGCGGGTTGGTCTATTTGGCTTGGTGGGCCACGGGTCCACGGGTGGTCGTTGACGGAAAGTTTGGGGCAAAGAATGGAAAAACCGGCAAACACATCCAATAGCAAAAGGTACCTAATTAATAGCAATGGCCTGGCCTCCAACCTAATAGCAATAGATACCAATCTGATAGGTTGCATGGGAAGAGGAAGTGCCCAGTCGCGAGCCCCCCATCAAGACATGTTGGTCTCCCAGACTCAGAGACTCTCGAGGCACTCGGATGCTACGATCAATAGCCTCGTTGGTCACCAATGGAACGAGGATTTTTGCTCATGATCCCGTGTTGAGAAGTGTGTTCATCGAAACAGTGAAGAGGTTTCTCATCATTCAGTGCAAAAGAAGGAGTGCGACAGCACGCGCCTCTATACAATACAGTTGAACGATGAAAGAACCATCCATCACTCCAAAATCCTACCCTACCTTTGATGAAAGTGCTTCACACACTGCAAAGCGCCTTTATAAACGAACAACGGGATGGGTCGTGACCGTCGTGACCCACCATGTGCAGCCACTCTCAGGTCGCTACACATGAAGCTTGGCGGGAAGCGCGTCACTGCACGTCTGCGCGCGTTTTGCTTTGCTGTTTGGTGACACAGGGAACAAGTGACAGGGAAAACCCCATGGGTTTAGGGTTGAATTGGATTGATGAGCATACCGTACCTTCAAGAGCCTCTCATGGCGCCACACCAGCACCCTTTCTTTCTTTTGCATAATGAAGCGGCAGATGACTGGCCATTCAAGTCTAGCCAACGCTTCTTTACAGAAGCCACGCCCCTTTCGCTGCAGTGGGCATCAAACGAAACTGTAAGCTTCGTGACTGCTTCTGTGAACCACTCCGGCAGCATTTCAAGAACCTCATTGCTAGGCTGCACATCAAAGAGTTGGGCGAGAATCCTGCACTTCTACGAGGGCTGGGCTTTCTGCTTTCTGCTTTCAGCAACCACATCAATCACAGCGGTGTCGTGGATCTGATCGCATGATGCAAACAGTGCATTGGCCTGTCGAGCTTTGACCGAAGTCATCTGGCTCATTGGGTTGCACATCGCAGCTGCTGGGGAATGTAGCATGAATATGTCCGATGCCCTCATACGGCAAGCATGGATGGCCTGCAGTATCAGGCTGTGCATGTGGATTGGGTGGCGGCCGTGCTATTCAAGGTGTAGAGAGAAGTTCGGTGCAAGTCGGCAGCCGCGGACCTGTCTCTTTGGCAATCACAAGATAAAAGAGAGGCCAAGCCCCCAGACCTCCCTTGGCTTCACGGCAAAGTCTAGTGCAATAGAACGAACGCGGAATCGGCACGTTTCTTGGGGGTGGCGAGAAGGGCGTCTTTGCGTCTGGGCTTGGTGACGATGCAGCACCGGGACGCTGCGAAAAGGGGTGCTACCCGAACCTGACGTCTTTGGGTCCCTTTGGGTCCCAGCGCCAAAGTACCTCGTGGGGCGACCATTCTTGGTGCACCCTGGGTGCCAGCGTGGCGCAATGTCATGTACTGTTGCCTGCTTGATTCTCATACCTTCTTCCGCGAATGGTGCCCTTCATCCGGACACGATTCCTCCAGTAGTGACAGTGGGGGCTTAAACGTCGCACTGTATCCGTGGTGGTCTTGTAGAACCCAGCTGACTTTTCATGAAGCCAATCCGACCAAACTGGGATATCGATTGACCTCTCCCTCGACAGACACCTACTTCTTCCTGAGACTTGTTTGTTCGTTTACCCTGAAGCAACCCATTGCATCATGTCAGCAATATGTCAGTCATGCGCAAACCCATGAATCTTGCGGACGCACGACGAGGACAGGGAGAGAGTCAGCTTCATCAACGAGCTGCGACGGGTTGTTCACCTCGTTGCGAGACTGCGTTGCTCACCCACTCAACATGTCTCAACAAGCTGCCTCAAAGGAGGTTTCTATGTGGCGGGACTTCTCACAAGAAATTCAACAACAGGGTTTTTGTGGAAACTGTGAGGGTGCGCCGGTCGGCAGAGCGTAGTATTGTCAGGGTTGGTCCGGAAAACCAGTGACTCTGGTGATTGGTACAGCATGACAATTACATACAAGACGATGCAACAACAAAGAACCATTCGATCTCCGATATTCTAGCGGAAGGAAACCTGATGCGCCACCTTCCTTTACCTCAGAGGCTTCAAGTAACTCAAAATACATGAACCAAAATCCACACCACCTGTAGAACCTTGCTCAGCGTAGGGACCTGATTGTGGGAGAATCAGAAGCCGTTCTTCTCACAAACCACTGTTCTTGTTCGATCCTCGTCTCCGCCGCACCTGGGACCATTCCTTTGGCGCCGCCGTTCTCATCGGAAGGTCCTCGAGAGACGTCACGAACGTCACGGCCGCATGTCATCCGATGTCCCAAGGATTATCCGCGCGATCACCATGGGCTTGGGAGGTGAAGGTTGGCATGACGACCGTGGAGGGCGTAATGCGAGTGACGGTTGGTTTCCGAAGAAGACTGGAAGAGGATTTGTGACCCACAACAGCATGTGAGTGAGTCCCGGTGTAGGTATGAGTTGTGGTGCTAGAATCGATAGAATTTGATAGGAGGTTGCCTGCAAGGGCACTTTCCGACTTATATTTCTCGGTTTGGGTTTGTGTCGGCTTGTTCACCGTTCTAGATCCTTCCTGGATTGCAATGTAGTGTCGTCAGTCCGAGCTTTCACGCGGCTCTTTCTTGTTGGGTGTATATGATATCTATATATATATATAAGAACTTATATGATCAACTGTAGTGTGAAAATCATAACGCTCGCAGGGAACATTCCATCAGACTTCCTATGCTTTTCTTCTGAGGCATAGAATATCACAGCCTTTTGTCAACCACGGGATTCCATTGTTCTTTGTTCATTAGCATGTTTTCTTCGTCTACTTGTTGGGGGTTCCGCAGTTTGTCCATTGGACTGGTTCTCTTTGATGGTGAAGACCCAAGAAAAGCTTGGTGTTGGCTGCTCAACTAGTGAAGATTCACTAGTCGCCCGCACCATCCTCACTCCCGCACCACCAATCCTCAAGTCTTAGAGCCCCAGACACCAGTTTTTGCCATGTTGGAAAAGCCACCTGGAACTGTTGAGCCTAGGAAACTCACTTCCACTTCCATGGGTCCCCAGGAAACTGTTCCATTGAACTCACCAAGCGAACTCACCAAGCTTCACTCAGCCATGCCTGTGTCGTGCCCACGCGTGCTTTTGCGCCAGCCTACTTGAACTTCATGGGTCCGGATTCTCAGCAATCCATGCTGGTCAGATCACTTTCTTCTCTTGGTTTTTGCTCGGTGTGTGTGTGTGTGTGTGATGTGGGAGAAAGTGAGATTAGGTAGGTGTCTGAAGCTGCTTGAAATGTGTGTGTTATTTTTGCTGGCTATGTTATGTGGAGGAAGAAGAGGAACAAGTCTATGATGGGTTGTCAGATCAAAACGATGACATACTGTGGTGGATTTAAAGATTCTACACTTCCCAGGATCGATGCTGTTCCTTTTCATGAACCTTGGGCGGAGCCGTTTGGAGGTTAGGAGCATCTACCCAGCGGCAGAATAGGCCACCAACTGCGCCCTCTCAGCCCGCAGAGGTCTCATTTGCTGTTTCATCCCACCGAATTGCTGGATCGATGTTTGTGCTGTTTGAGAGCGGAGGCTCTCCTACCAAAATGTGAACATTTCTGTGATCCGATCCCCTCAACATCCCTCAACTCAATGCCGTGGAATGAAGACGTTCGAAGTTCCAAGATTCGTCAGGCACACCCTGGCGAACCTGCTCCAACAAGCGTCCCGCCAGCTCCCCGTGATCGTTCGGGCGCCGGACGCAAAACCTTTCCTCTACAAAAACCACTTCCATTTTTGTCTACACTTATCAAAATTGGTCCGCTCAAAAATATCAAGGGATAGCCAAAGATCATCCGCAACGAAACACACCCAGCTGCCTTGAACTTAAACACCCGCCTTGAGCCATGATGTCGTCTTCCATTGCACCATGGATGTCTTTTGGAAGATCCCATCTTCCAAATGGTTCATCCACCTCATCCAGCTTTTCCATAGTCTTTCTAGAAGCTCCCTGGATGCTTTGGGTCACTCCCGTCCCGTTTCGCCAGGGAACGAGTTTGGGCACCCGGAGTGGGTGGACTTCCCCCGTGAAGGCGGGGGGAGCAAAGGAACAAGGGGTCGGGGTAGCCGAAGGGTTTCAGGCTAAGGGATCCGCTGAGTGGGTGATTTGCTTAGAGTATGTTAGACTTTTAGAGTTCGGGTGTGCATCTTGAGTCTTGAATGAAACATAGGTAGCTTTCAGGAGCTTTTTCCCGGGTCGGGGAGGGAGAGCAGGAAACAGTGGAGGTCTACACTCCTTGAAAGTAAAAAGGGGCCACGGGCACAAGCACGTCCAATCAGTCCAACGGGATCGTTCCCACGAGTGGGAACCTCCAGCACGGAGAGCGTCTTTTGGTGTCGTTTTTGCTGTGGAGTGGTTGCTTTGTGGTGCGGCTGAGTCTTTTGTTGGGGAAATTGGTTTGTGCCATGTTTGCCGAGTTTGATTTTAGTTGCTTTGGCTGCAGTGACTCAGTGGGAACTGTCCGAGTGAGGACGCAGATCAGACCTGCCATGTATTGACCCTTCACATGGACCGGATCCCCTTGTGAAATAACCCCCAGTCCCATCGATTTGCGAAGATTGGCCAAAGATTTGGATCACAGACCCATCTGATCCTTATATAAATTCTCATCTCGTCCGCAGGCAACAACTGGTCGGCCGCCCACTGCCGCCGCCGCTTCGACCTGGCGGACAGCGGCTTGTTGCGGTGCGCTGCCGGGAAAGTTGAGGGTACTTCCGGATGGGAACGCTTCGTATAGACCTTTGCTCTCCTCCTCTTCTTCTTCTTCTTCTTCTTCTTCTTCCAGACCTCTTCTTTTTGGTCTCACGGGTCTAATTCCGGGGATCGTTGCCTCGCAGGTCTCCCTCTTTGGCCTACACAGCCCGTTGGGCTACGCGATGCAATCAATTCGGGGTCCGGAACGAGAGGGGTCGGTCTAGAATGCCACTTGCCGATTGGTTTTCTTGCATGGGCGAGTGAGCAACGTGTTTACGTTTGTTTGCATTTGTCCAGCGGCATGCCAACCGTCAGTTCCACTTGAAGGACATTCTCTTCCCCACGCAGAAAAATCAGCAGAAGAATTGACCAAAACTCCGATAAGCCACACACTCCTTGAGAAGTAAGAACCTCTATTGCTTTCAGCTATCCCGGAAAAAATTAGCAGAAGACTTGATCTCGGAATGTCTTTTCCCCATGATTCACTCGGGGTCCCGCACGTGCCAGGTATCGCTTCTTGCTGAAATGGGATGTGGCGCTCCACGCGTTGGAGGTGAGGTGGAACGGAAGCATGCCGGCGTACACAGCACGGCTGTGTGATGTAGGACTTTGTCATGGATGGAAGAGAGTGGTCAGCTAGTGGATGAAACCCATGAGTATGCAGATGCGCAGATGCATGAAGGATATGTGTTTTGTTTTTGTTGGTGATCTTGGAGCTGTTGTCCTCATTGGTAATGTCATGGAAGCTGTTTCTGAGTCCCCTTTTTCTCGCTCAATCTTCTGAGACTTGTGCAGTTGTGCATCATGGGTGCTGTTGGCGCTTCACCGAGTCGTGCTTTTTGGCCCAATCCACGAGGCGTTTTCATCCCAGGTGTCGAAAGATGTGTTGTCAAAGAATCCATCCAGGCCTGGTTGAGCCAGGAACTGGATCTGATGGCAAATAAAGGTGATGCTTTTCCCAGCTCTCTTATAAGCAAATCCAAGTGAGACTAGTCCCAGCCTGGCTGCGTTCTTTCAAATCCGCCAAAACCACAAGCGCCAGGAGAGCACCGGCTTCGCCAGCGACGAACATTTGTTGGTCTCGAGCCAACACGAGGCGATGGGGGGGCGCAGAACGCACTTCAGGTCGCCTCGATTCCTGCTTAGTTGCTAGCCGCTAGCCTTTTCGAGCCATGATCATCCACCATTGCTTGAACTCAAACGGCTGACAAACCATTTCTTCTCCTCCTCCTCCTCCTCCTCCTCCTCATCATCATCATCATCATCCGTTAGTTGATTGACACATCCAAGATTTACCAATTTGTGCCGGTGTTTTGTTTTCTGTTTGTGTATCAAGAATTTTGACGAGCTGACAGGTAGTTTCCCTGTGTTGGCTAAGGGACTTGCCATCCTGCATTCGTATATCGATTTGGTTCTTTCGTTGCTCAAATACTGGCGCATGGGTTGACACGCAGTCAGTTACCGAAAGCGGCAAGTCGGGCTGGCCTCCCGCAGGTATCCACTTGCAGACCCCGGGCTTGGAGGAAAGTTCACTTCTTGTAGGGCAGAACCAAGGCCACAAACATGTGTCGGGCTACAGCTACCTTGGGGGCCACTTGAAGGAAGCCCGACACCAATCTCCACCGGCCTGGCCGGGACAGGAGGACAAGGTCATCGTTTTCGAACGTGCTGACCTCCTGTTTGTGGTGAACCTCCACCCATGCCGGGACCACAGAACTTCGCGCGCAGAAAACCTCTCGGCTTTTGTTTCATGGGAGAGAACCTCTTGACTCTTGACCTCTTTGGTTGATACGAAGGATCCACATGCCGACTTCTCTCGCAGATTTGCGATGACCACGGATCCAAAAGGATGTGTCCCTTGCCTTAGCTACCCACTCTACAGTTGACCATCTTTGACCCTCTTTTGCTGGGTGTGGTTCAAAAACCGGTATGCCGGGGCCCTGGGTATGTCTCAAAACTCACACCCAAACGCACTGGCAAAAGGAACATGGTCAGAAGAACATGTCAATGTGCGCCCAAGTGTGAGAAATGGGACTTCGACACATCCCGCACCATGTCCTATCCAGGGGTTCTACTTGGATCGCCTGCCAAACCGTGCAAAAAGAAGAACAGGTCCTAGTCTAGTTCCTGAACACCGAACACACCTTCGACACCGATCGATCTGTATCGTGAACCGGGCAGACCCCGTCTGCTCCCTCATCCACGGTGCCGAAGACCCGTCGGACGCCCCCGGTCCGAAGACCCGGCAGCCGGGACTTAGCTTCTTGTTACTACTAGCGAGGCACTTGTTCCTAGTAGCTTCTTGTTACTACTAGCGA